TGGGCATCTGTTGTTACCTGGGAGATTATGCCTGCCCAGTAAAGTTGATGGCTTTTCATATGCATGTCCCAGTTTTGATACCACACAAGCTGAACATAGGTAGGCAATCTAGACATGATAGTTTGCTCAGTGACTGCTCCAGGTCCCTTGCTGAGTAAAATGGCCCATGAAAACTTGTTTTAGCAGTCAACAGTGCTTCCTATTCAAGTAACTAAAACATAATTCCAAGGTGTTCCTCCTGACAAAGAAGAGTCCAACCCTACCTCTTATAATTTGTCTGGACTAAGCCAAATTACCTTCTGGAGCACTAATGTCAAGCCGATTAAAGAGGGGAAGTGTGGAAAGGAGAAGGAACATCTATTTCTTAGTAGTATGTAAAAAGTTTTAATATCTTTATATGCACTCTTTTTATAGGGAGTGTAACATTGTAAACAGATTCTAGGAATATTCTAAATGTCCTCAAGCAATTACCCAAAAGGCTAGGAAATGTTTACAATGACTAGATTATATGCATGGCTGATACAAATACATATTTTTCTCTTGCTATTGATAACACAAAAATAAATACAAAATTATTCAAATTCTTTGGGAGGCCCATGTGAACTTTACAACTTTGGAGAAAATGGTTTCAAATGTTACATATTACATGTTATTTATTATATATGTTATGCTGTATACTATATACTATACATATATTCTGTGGGTTACATATTATATATGACAGCCTTGCAAATTCTGAAACTCTATCAAAATAAGCTTCAAAAAGGCACAGATTTTGAAAATTAATAATCCCACATGGTTTTGGTCCAGTGACTCTTTAGATCACTCATTCTTGCACTGTCATTTCTATTACTGGTTAAGTAGGAAAATAGTTCAATTGCTTATGTAGAGCGAGCATCTTGTAAAATCTTTCAAATCCATCTATAATACTCTTATTTTTTAAAATAAAGTGAGAGTCTAATAGGAAAGATAAATTCTAATTGGATTTTAAGTAATAATTTCTTGCCTTCCAGGAAAGTTTACCTGTATTGAGGTTAAGTTTCACTTGGAACGCCAGATGGGATATTATTTGATCCAGATGTACATCCCCAGTCTCTTGATAGTCATTTTGTCCTGGGTCTCCTTTTGGATAAACATGGATGCAGCCCCTGCCAGGGTCGCACTGGGCATCACCACAGTTTTAACGATGACCACCCAGAGTTCAGGTTCCAGGGCGTCTCTGCCAAAGGTAAGAAATCTCCTCACTTGACAACAGTGACCTGAGAAGTTTGTCAAAGGTTTTGTAGGCTGGAGGATTCTGGGAAGCCAGAAATACCTACCAGTCTGTGACACTGTTGGAGATGCAAATGCAATAAGAGAACAAAGAACTGAGTTTGAGATCATTAGAGCTTTGAGGATATGGGGCAACTTCATAATCAGATCAATTAGGGGAAAGGGGAGTAAGGGTTATGAGAGAGGAGAAATGAGTGGAGGCAGAAACATTCAGGAATTCTAAGAAGCGCTTGAGTGCTTTTGACATTATGTTGTTTATGAGCCATGAAGCTTGCAGGAATTGAAGTAAGACTAATTCAACTTATGCTGTATTGTCAACATTTTATTGGTGAAGTAATTGTGATCTGTATGCTCAGTAAAGTCACTTACATTAATAAAAATTTAAATTAAGCTCCTGGAAGTTTATTCAGAAAAGCCATCTCAAT